GAGAGAGAGAGAGAGAGAAGAAGAGAGAGAGAGAGAGAGAGAGAGAGAGATATGACGTTCACAAAAAAGTTCTTAGAACTCGTTCTTACGTTTAGAATGAAGCTTATTAAATCTCGTACGAGGATTTATCAATTCGTATTATGTTCAATTTTGCAGCAATATTATTATGCAGATGTACAGTACATTGTTCGTGTTAAAGAGAGAAAATGTAGCATCGATTGCCTAGAGATGCGCAAAGAACTCAAGTGTGGGCGACCGGCGGGCGATTTTGTGAATATTTTGCGCGGGTGCATTGAAAGTTGATTCCTTCCGTGTAATTTAACTTTTATCGTAGTTGAATTTAATTTGAAATAAATTTCGCCATCGCACCAATTAACTTGAACAGTAGCTCAATTGTCTCTTTATCTCCTTTTGCAGGCAGAATCCGAAAAAAGAACTAGCAAAACAATTCAACTACAGTTAAGCTTAATGGATATTGGCGATATTGACGCTAAATTAAACGACGAAACGTCTTCAAAGTCTCATCAATTAGGGTTGATTGAGGTTTATTGTCTTCTCTACTTCTATTTTTAGAAGGCGAAGAATCGGTTAATCACGTCTTTGATCTGCTCAAATGTCTTCGGGCGTTATACTTTCGCAACACAAAAGGCAATTACATGAATACAAATCTCCCTCCGCGAAAAAGAATATAATAATATTAAACAGTTACGTTCGCTCGCTTATTATTAGAAGCGTAACGAATTAAGCAATAAAGGGAATCGGGCATTTAATTGTTGCAGTTTCCTGCCCGGCGTAAAAACACTCAACTTTTCCAACGCCCTAAAGAGGAAGTGGTTAAACCAATGTTAGCTTTAACACGCATGGGAACGGGGGAGAAGCCGGAGAAACGCGATAGAGTCTCTCGCATGAAAGCCAATCGGTGCTAGTCTTGCCAACGAAATCAAATGCCTCTCATTATGCATGCCGCCCGCCCATTCGCGCCACTTGGGATACATACACATAAAGCCCGCGGGGCGAATATATTCGTAAAAGTATCGAAGAACGCAAAAATTCGAACGCTCAACTTGTTGAGAGACGTTCCTTGAACTCGTTTTCTCGCCGACGTCACGCTCCGTCGTCAGTCTATTCAAAGGCAATTTCGCAGCCACCAAACGCTCCTTGAGATTCTTTCTTATTCCGGAAACGAGTCTCGCCCACGTTCAGCACGCCCGGTCCCAATCCTTTCCTCCCACCGCGGAACGTCTCGCAATCTTAAATTTAATAACCGACCCATTGACTAATCGACTTCTTCACCGGTCGAAATTCTCGAGGAAGGTCAGCTACAAGTTATCGTACTTTTCCTCACTCACACGTGATACATCATTCCGAAATGTCGCTGCATTTACGTTTCCTATTCTCATTAAAGTTTCATTAGGTATAAGCATATAATTAAATGAATGCCGCGTACTCTGTCTTCATTCTTTATCTTGTCCCGCGATATAAATACACTTCTTTATCTTGTCGTAAATAAATATCGTTTGGCAGAAGTAAGAGAGGCGATTCAAACGTTCGACGTATTGACTGTCGAAAAAATATTCCCGATATTTCTCTCATCTCCAAAAGGATACGGACATTTCTATCGTCTCAAAAATACGGCCAATTACCGTTCATCAAACAGACCTGCTTTTTTTTTCTTGCTCGCATGCGAATATACAGGAATACGAGCACGAAGTACGAATACCGAGGTGTACACAAGTATCGACGTACAGGAACACGAGCACTCTGCGATAGATAATAAAGCAATTATAAAGAACAAAGAATAATAAAAAGAAGCGAGACGAGCTGCCTGACGTTTAACGTTTCAGCGTCTTGACTAACAATGAAATAGCAGTACACTCGAAACTCGGTGGAAAAATCAATTTTCAAGCTCGATGTATTTCACGACTCGGTCGCGGCCGCGTGTTTACAGGAACCTTTTTCTTTGTACCTAGCTATGCTTTATACAATCGCCTGTCGAAAGTATCGACCTTCCGCGGCTGAAGGGCCAGTCTATATGCGCGTTTTCCATCGATCGACGTCTCTGCGCGTGCAATCGAAACGCGCCCGCGTTTTGCACGCGCGAGCATGTGTAGGATAAAGCGACGCGGCGCGCTAAACAATAGATTCATCCACGTCGCCACGTAGCGTCGCTTAAATGCACGGCAAATGACACGTCGCGTTGTCGTCGCTTCGGAATTTCGCCCGACGTTCGCTCGGCGATAATATTTAATTTCCCAACCTCCCGCGTGCGAAGTATATGAAAATGTTATTTCGCGCGTCAAGAGAGGAGAACCCGAGACATCGGATCGTCTTGACGGAAAAGAGCGCGTAAAATCGCCATTTTAACGCACGCCGTTAAATCTTAATTCCGTTCAATTTTACAATTTTACGGGCGAGTTGCTCCGGTCCTCGTTAAAAAGAATTGACTCCGTCTCAGGCGGAGGGTGAGGATGCTGTGCGAGTGGTTTCATTTACCGGCGGAGTCGCGTACAGTCTTTGCGTTTGTAAATCTTATTATTGGCATTTGTGTACAAAATAACACCAGAGCGGATCGTGGACTGCATAGTAGAACATTTTCATATAAAAAACATTGAGGTTCGAAGTCTAATTCGTATCGCATTATGTATTTGAAAATGTGAAATGCATTGTCAAGTGTACCAAAACTTGGTAAAATTTTTAA